GGGGGGGTTTGCAGGTGGGGTTTTGGGGGAAGGGGGGGACAGGTGGGGTCTGCAGGGGGATCAGGAGTCAGGTGGGGTCCACAGGAAGGATTGGGGAGATTGACAGGACTATATCCCAACCCCCCCAGGAACATGTGTACCCCAATCCCTCCTACCCAGATGAACAGCCCTCCCTGGTGAACCAACCCCCACATCCTTTTGCCCCCCGCTCCCCCAATTTCTGTCAGGTCTTGGCACTGCAAAATGCTGGTAAAACTGGCACCAGGAATGGCTTGAGGGATAGGAGGTCTGTTAATCAGGGGGCTAGGGTGTTAGCTAGTTGGTGGTGCTGGTGGGGTGTTCTCCTGGGGGTGAGGAGAGAAGCCAAGGAGGCAAAAAATAACCTGGTACCAGGTGGGTGGGTAGGGAAAATGTAGCTCTGGGGCTGGGGCCAGCAGTTGGGTTTTCCCAGCCTTGGGGTTTTCTGAGAACTGTACAGAAGAGTCTAGCCCAACCCCAGTCTAAGTTAGACTACCTTTGGAGGTACATCTAACATAGGTTGGGTTGGCCATTTTTAGACCAGTCTAACTGTTCTGAACTTCTGTACAGTTTGCACTTAAATTAACCTAACTAGGGATCTAAGTGTAAGGTCCAAACTTGGGTGAACTACATTAGATTGGGTGGCCAATTTTAACAGGATCTAACCTCTTCCAAACCTCCCTGACTGTATGTACCATGAGTTTCCAATGGAAGTTCCTAGTAGAAAAAACACAAGTAGTGAATATTTCAGGTCAATCTGATAATCCCCACCAGAGGATTACCTCAGTTAGCTATAACTAGTTAAAAATGACAAAAGATTATCTCTGCTTTGGAGATAATACAAAGGATTATCAGAGGATTTCTCATCAAGAAAATTATCTCTATGCTAAAACTCACCCTTTTCTTTTGCAGTGAAGACATAGCTTTAGAATAGATGAGGTTCTAAGGATTCATCTTGACCAACTAATGTGTTATAATTAGCTTGCCTGTCTAGATTTTTAATATGTTTGCTGAAATATATTATCTAATACATTTTAAACATGCACTCTTCCAACCCTAGGCAAACTCATGTGTTCCAGAGAGATTTATTGTAAGCTCTGACTTCTAAATGTAAAGAATCGTTAAAAAGGATTTCTTTATTTATTAACTTAGCCACTCATTAAAATTACATAAATGTAAATAACCATCTCATCACCTTTCAATAGCTTTCCCTTCACTCTTAAATCTTGTGATAGCATTTCATTCATTTTCATTCATTATAATCTTTTTTTCTCCTCACAAAACATTGATTTCTAATATTAAAAAGAAGTAGTGGAAGATATTAAAAAAACCCCAAAAAACAAGCCAACCCTTATTGGACATTTTGCTATATTCAGAGAGAAACAACAAAAAGAATTGAGTCCTTTTTTAAATTTGCAAGCCAAATATAAAGACTCCAAAAATGGTTCAACATATGAAGCTAAGAAAATTGGGTTTTTCCCATGTAAATGGAAACTGAGTTGATCCAGTTTGCCTTTCAGGATGGTGTTTTGAAACTCATTCTATAAATTACGCTCTCTAGAGAAAGAAGAGATTTCATTCATATGAAATTTCTGGTCTAAATCATGAATCTCATTGGCTGGACTTGACTATTTGGACATCTCTCTTTTTTTTTTTCTTTTCTCTGTTCCTTTCCTGGTTTATTTTGTCTGTGGTTTTGGTGGAGCAACGCACACAAGAAGTTGCCTTTTCTTAGGGACAAAAGACATTATGCAATGGGTTTTAGAAGTGTACAAAAGGTAATTGCTGAGATGTGACTCTAGGAATTGAAAATAAATGAAAATGTTAGGATTAATTTGGGCCTTGTCAGCATGAGGAAACTAACCAGAATAGCTTTATGTGAAGATATACTATTTTGAATAAAAGTTACCTTTGTGTCTTCATCTAGAATGGAGTTTATACATGAGCTTAATTCACAACAGGATTTTTGTTAATTTCCCTTTGTAGATGTGGCCTTAAAAAGTGGTTGGCGGTGAAGTTACCTGCTAAGGTAGCAACTCAATAAGAACAACCCAGGGGCTAACTGGTTTAAAGCCTAGCGGTCCTTATCAGAATACCCCACACATTTAAATAGACAACTGATAATTTTCTCTCCTAATTAAACTTGATTGAGTTAAAGAACAATGGAGTGGTTAGAATACTGCTTGCAAGTGGTGTATACATTAAGAAAGTTTAACTGTGAAATTTTACAAACTGTATTAGATACCATATTTACCTGAATCCAAGACAGCTCTGAATTTAAGCTGACCCCCCAATAATTAGATTCTATATGTGGCATAATATATAGATGATTAAGGACTTCTGTATTTTTTCCAACACTAACTAATTCAAGGGAGGAAACAGACTCATCTAGGGAAAGGAAATCCTTCTAAGGCTAAGAAGGAGACAGCTCTGTAGATGGAGGAGAACAGTGGATGCAATATACCTTGACTTTGGCAAGGCTTTTGACACTGTCTCCCACAGAATTCTCATTAACAAGTTAAGGAAATACAACCTTTATGCTAGGAAAGTACTGTAACATGGATGCATAACAGGTTGAATCATCATGCTTGATGAGTTATCATCAAATGGGTCAATGTCTACTTGAGAGGAGTTCTCAAGTGGAGTTTCTGGGTCCAGTAATGTTCAACATCTTCACTAATCATTTGCATGATGGAATTGAGTAAATGGTTAGCAGATTTGCAGATGACACTAAGTTGGATGGAGTTGCAGGTGCACTGGTGGGCAGGTAGAATCCAGAAAGACCTGGATAGACTGGAAAAAATAGTCTGTAATCAATCGAGTGAGTTTTGACAAGGACAAATGCAAAGTATTGAACTTAGGACAGAATAACCGTCAAAAATACAAACTGGGGAATGATTGTTTAGGCTGCAGTACTGCAGAAAAGGACCTGGGGGTTACAGTGAACCATAAGATGAACATAGGCTAATAAGTTGGGTCCACAGGAGCAGGGGGCATGTCTTTACAGCAGTAGAAATAGTAGCGTCAAAAATCTGTGCAGCTACTTTGTGCTCCAGTGCATGCCCCTGCCCATGTGCTTTGCAGCAGGACACATTGTGCTGGCAGCTCCCCTGTCTTTGCGTGCCTCAGCATGGGGGATCCACTGCAGAACCCCTGTTCTGAGGCACATGGAACCCCTGCACTAAGGCACGCTTTTGTATAGCCAATGGAGGAGCTGGCTGGAGCACAGTGAGCAGAAAGCCTTGGCCTGCCTGCTCCTCCAGCTCTGAGTTTGTCTTAGCGCTCGCCACTTTGCCATGGTTTGCACTGCTTTTTTTCTAGGGGATTTTGGGGTGGGTTTTTTGTTACTGGGAAATCCTGGTAGCAAATTCAGCCCCAGGGCTGCAAATTAGCAGTCCTGAGCACTGATTTAATGTGCAACTGTAGTGGTTTGTGGCACTGCAAAGAGGTTTGTATTACCACAAGCCACATGTGCCTGCATGTCTGGATCTAGCCATAGTATGCTACTGTTGCAAAATAAATAAATAAATAAATAAACCCCCAGTAATATACTGGATTGTATCAACAGGAGTATCTCTTGAAAATCAAGGAAAGTGATTTTTCTACTCTATTCAGCACTGGTGAAGCCTCCCCTGGAGTTCTGTCTCTAGTATTGGGCCCTGTACTTCAAGGAGGATGTAGACAGATTGGAGAGAGTCTAGAAGGCCATCAGTTGGACAGCCCTGTATTATGTAATGACTCACTATATCACTTGTATCATCACTATCCTTTTAAAACTATCATTATATAATTCAAACTTCACCTATAAAGAGTTTAGGGCTGTCTGGAAGTGTATTATTTGCTTTTGCCATATCCACTTATTGGGTTGGACTGGAAAACCTACAGTTTGAATGACATGTATTGCTGAGTAATGTAGGATATTGAAAATAGCTAGTAACATTCCCAAAAGTGTTAATATCTAGTTCACGTGTTTGAGAGCAACTGTGAAATTTAAATTTACACCAGAAACTATGGTATAATACTGAAAGCAAACATTAAAAAGTTGCAGCCCCTGGGATAACTTCTGTTCTGATTGATCTGCTGTAATTTAACCAAAGTCAGGGTAGCTAATCCTTATTTATACTGGTTTAAAAGCGGACAGATCTGGCCTGCTGTTTTTAATGTTGAAAATAAAACATTTGGAAAAGCCTCTTCCTGTCAGAGGGCCAACCCAAAAGCAAACTTCTTCAGAGGCACAAAAAATAGACCTGCCTTCTAACAAGTAATTAAAAAGCTAATGTATGTCTGAGCATGTTATTAACCTTAAAATTAAAGGTGTGCTGCTTCTAAAGAGGGGGAAGATTATTAGGCTCTAGATGCATTAAAAACAAATAATAGCTTGCTGCAGTCTTGCAGGGAATTTCCTTCACCAAAGGTCAAGTGTCATAAAATAAATTTGAGTTCCTTTTCCTTGAAAGACAAAGGGAATTTTAAGACTCCCAGATTGTGCAAGTGGAAAATGTTTCTTCCCTCCTACCCCGCCCCACTCAAGCCCTTTTCAGCATCTGTTCCAGTCCAAGTCAGTAAAAATTACATTTTCATCAGCATATTGAGGGGGTTTACTTTTTATATTGGACAGGATATTCTGCTTGTATTTCTGTGTTTCATTAGGGTTTTTAAAACATCTTTTTGATTCAATATATGGTATTATTATGTGTTTTCTAAGCCAGTGGAGAATATTGTATGAACTGGAGTTACAGGAAAGAAAAGAAATCCTAGCACTTTATGCTAGGAAATTTCAAATAAATCATCCAACTCTTCATGCAGATGTATGATTTCAGGTAAATTAGAAGATGGAATTTTACTGTATGTTTCCACATTTTAATTGTAACTGATGTTGGAAAGACATGTTAGTTGCAAAAGCCCCGAAGGTGTGGAATTGGCACTTCAAAAATCTTGTATTAGCCAATTCATAAACGTCAGAGAAGAGAATCATCTGCAGGCCCTTCATACTCAGTATTCCTGTTGCCTTTGGTTTAACCATTGGACAGAAATTGTAAATACAGTACAGTTGCATCATACATGCATTTACCGTGTGCAAATTCAACTTTGTGGGGTGGGAGGAGGAGGCGGAGCTTCAGTTTGCTGCGGCGGCGGGAGGTTTTGGCAGCGTGGTGGTGGCCAGGCGGCACACAGCTATCCACCCCCCACCCCCGTGCTGCGCCGCTGCCATCGGCTCCAAGCACGGCTCCGCGGTGGCGGCAGGAGGTTTTGGAGGCAGAGGCAGTCGCCGCTAGTCAAATCACTGGCGATTTGTCTATGCACGATTTTCGCCTTATGCAATGACCTCAGAACCTAACCCCTGTGTAAGTTGCGACATGCCTGTATGTTCTACATACAAATGTAGAAATTTGTAGTTCAGTGTGATAGTCCCAAAGACTTCCACATTTATAGTAACTTCTGTAACATCATACCAAAAAGGAAATAGAAATAAACACAGGTTCAAGACCCAATTATCCTTCTGTTAATTTGAATAGGAGCATAATTGAGCGATAACATCAACAATTACAAAAATACATTTGCAGACATAAAAACTTAAACGTTCAGATAGTACAGTGACTGCCTCTGAAAGAGTGCCTGTTCAAATTTGACCTACAACTACCCTGATTTCTTTTTGCTGAAGCATGACTGTCCAATGGTTAAGGAACCTATATGAGGGTCTCGTAATCATTTTCCCCACTTGTCTCTGATATTTGAAATTTTGAAGATGTTGCTAACATTTTCTTTACCACTGTTTCCTTACATGAAATCTGGAGATTATGGTATCTCCTCATTTCTATGAAAAACTTTCTAATTTCCTGAAAACATTAATGAACAGGTTATTTATCTATAGGGTGTGTGTGTGTGTGCGTGTGTGTGTGTGTGGTGTGTGTGTGTGTGTGTGAGCATCTGCTTGTGCATATAACTGCATGTATCCTTACAAATAGTTTCTCTTTTATTTATGAGATAAAATCTGAGTTTTCTATTTTTTGGAGCTTGTAGAAAATAGCCATCTAAAACCAGGGAACTGAGAGATTTGGGGATGATTGTAACCATTTACAACTTAGACTTTATGTATGTGTTGTGCATTACATTAAAAATTGACATGATAATTAAGAAAAGTTAACTTTTCGGTGCAGGTTTTTTGAAAAACTTTTTTCACATACTTTATTTTTTTTCTGCACTGAACATTTTCACTCTAGCAAATCATGCATAAAAATGTGAAGCTCAATAGAGATTATTGGGTTTAGTCCTATGACAAATTCAGCCTTCTTAGAATTATTAGAAAATAGAAATTTGTAAATGAAATAATTGTTTTCTGTTTTAGAATCATAGAAAACTAGGGCTGGAAGGGACCTCAGGAGGTCCTCTAGTCCATCTCCATTCTCAAAGCAGAACCAGCCCAAACTAGATCACCTCAGCCAAAGCTTTGTCTAGGCAGGTGTAAAAACCTCCAGCGATGGAGATTCCACCACCTCTCTGGGTAACCTGTTCCAGTGTTTTATTACCCTCCTAGTGAGAAAATTCTTCCAATATCTAACCTAAACTTCCCTTGCTGCAACTTGAGACTTGCTTCTTATTCTGAGACCATTGCTCCTTAGAACCCAAGACTTTAATACATAGCCATTTATATTATTTGATAGACACTGTTTTGCCAGCATCCACCTTTTATGATATAGCTATATGGAAATATTTGTACTGCCAACCAGTAGTGCAAGGCCAGGTGCAGATTCTAACAAAAACTTTAACATTGCTAGTTTTCTTTCCTTTTTCAAAACATTTTTTAAAAAAAGAATTTCTACAAAATAGCTTCAGTGCTGTTGGATTTGAGTCTTATTTAACAAAATGTATTTTTAGTTTCACCATAAGTATAGTGAAAGTCCATTGCTCTCCACTGACCAGAGAAATCAGCTAGAAATGAAAGGCTGTTTTTGAGCCAGTGTTGCCCTATGGGGTCAGGCCACTTCTTAGGATCTCAATATTGTGCTGTTAGACAGGAGGGTGTGACACAATTGCACATATACAAACACACAAATCAGTTACGTGCATACACATGCACACTACCAGCTCAGGCACATACACATTCAAACCAGCCTAGGCACATGCATACCTATGAGCAATTCAAGCACATACACTATACACCCCAGAAGTTAGACACAGATCACTAATTCATATATCATGCACACATTGCCATATATATACACACACACACACACACACTAGCAACTCAGATACATACACGTTCAAAATAACTAGTTTTACTACACACACCAAATGTAGACGGAATCAGTTACCAACACCTGCACATCCAATACACATACATGGATTACTAATTCATATACCCCCCACACACAAAATTATATCTATATATGTATATATATGTGTATTCACTAATTCACACACATACCACCCACCTATACATACACACAAATGAGTTCCTAAGTTGGGTGTTGTGATATGTACGTATGTATATATGTGCTTGGTATGCTTGGGATACCTGGGGAAAGGTTAAGGTAAGAAAGTAGAAGTGTAGGGAGTTAAAGTTGCTGGGAGTGAAAGTCACTGGGACTGGGATTAGAACCGGTAGACTAGAGGGGCCTGGGTTGAAGAACTGAGGCTCAGGAGTAACTTTAGATTAATTGATCTTAATTGATTAAAAGACAGTGCTGAAAGCCTACAGAACAGGGGAGCAATGCCAGCACAGAGGCTGGGACTGGAGCCAGAGCTATGGATGAGTTGAAAAGGTAGGTGGGGAGAGGGAAAATTGGACTAAG